ACTCCCGGGGGCCACCCACGCTGAGCAAGCTGGCCGGGCGTCGCGTCGGAAACGCCCAGGGGGCCCTTTCGCCCCAGACCCCCCGCGCGCGCGCGCTGGCGCGACGCAGCCCGCGAGATCTGGGCCCCCCGACCCCGAAGGCTGTCACGCACGCAGATGGCGAACGCCAGCGAGCCGCGCTGCGCGCGGAGGGCGACGGCCTGCACATCGCAGTAGTCGATCGGTCGCGCCGCAAACTTCTGGGCGATCTCGCGGCGCCGCAGCTGGCCACCGGCCCGATCGGCCCTCGTGGCCAAGCGGCACTTGGATCGTGACTTGATGCGGCGGCGACATCCGAACGCCACCCGCCTGCCCCGCAGCCATCGCCGCCACGCGCGGGGGGCGGGGGGGGGGGCGACTGCCCCCCGCGCGCGGCCGCCGCACCCCATCACCCGCCTGAGCTCGCCGTCGTCAGCGCGCAGAGAAATCGGACCTCACGCGTCGGATGCCCTTTGCTTCGGGCGCCCACTGCGCGAAGCTTGTGACACGAGGCGAAGACCGCGCAAGAATCGGCGCGCCCAACTTCACATGCGCTGCAATCATACGTTTCGCGCCCTAACTGCGCGGCCTGACTGGACGCGGGATCCGAAGGACGCAGCTCGCATAGTTGGCCACAAGCCACGCCGCCACTACACTGTCCATATGGAATCCGATGCGCTCATGCTGCCTGGTTCGATCAGCTCGCAGCCCCACCTTTCCACCGCGGAGCGGCGAACCCAGCTGGGGCCTGCGGGGGAAAACACAACGCGATCATAAGGGGCTTACTCATCTCACCCGGACTATCATGCACGCGGTGCTACGCGCGCATATCTGGCGCCGCCCTGACCATGCGCTTCGCTTCGATCCTACGTGAAGCTAGCGCGTGGGCAACTAATGCCCAATAAGCCTAGGCTCGGTGCCCTGTCAGGGGCCGTCGCCTTTGCCTCGTGCGGGCCTCGAGAGATGACGCACCTTCGCGCCCAAGCGTCGGGGGCCCCAGTGGCAGCGGAAGCCGGCCCCAAGAACAGGAGCCACGCCAACGGCGGGGCCCACTGATGGCTCCTCCGCCTTCACTGAGGCTGGCCTAGGTTGCCCCTCCTGCCGGCGCCACTTGGCCTCGAGCTGCGCCAGCATCGCCCCCGCCTTGGCGCGGACGGCGCAGATGATGCCCACGGGCCCACCGAACTGAATGGCGTAGGCGCCAGCGTCGGCCTGGCCAACCTCTGGGTCGGAATGGGCGAACGCGGGGCCCACCTCGAACTCCAGCTCCGCACACACCACCAGTTTCGCGAAGTATAACGCGGACGGGGGGGAGGCGGCCGACGGCTCCGCATGCGGAGGTTCATTCACGTTTCGTGCCCGCTGGAACTCAACCAAGGCACGCGCAGCAGCATACTGTTTGGCCAGCCTTGTCCATGCCCGTCTGCGCCTTGCCCTCCGCCGCCTCCTGCGCGGGTGGCGCTGGTTGGAGGCATCCGCCATGACTGGCTCCGGCGGCGGCAGCAAAACGCGGAATGCTTCGAGGGCTTGCTTGTCCGCGTGAGGGGCAGCCTTGTCCAAGGCCTGGCGCAGCTTGGCAGCAGTAGGAGGCGTCGTGGCGGACGTGGGTCAGCCTTCCCACTCGACCAAGCTGTCGTCATCAGCATCACGGCGGCGAGTGGCCCGTGTTCCTTGCACGATGGAGTCTGCCCACGGCGCTCTGATAACCTTCACAAGCTGGCCGCAGCTGACGCAGCGCGCATGTCCTTTCCAGGCCAATTTGCACTTGCAGCCGATGAATCCCACCAGCCCTTTGGGCGTGAGTGGTTTAGCGAGCCCCCTCTGTCCTCAACCCCCCTTCTTCCCCTTCGGGGAGGGGTTTACCCCTCCCCCTACCCCCTCCCCCTGGGCCTGGAGAGGGCGCCCCGCGGGTCGTCAGAGGGGGTCAATTTCGACTCCTGGGAGGGCTAAAAAACGACGACCTTCACAAGGATTCTGGCCCCGACGGGGGGCCGGAGAAAAAAACCTCTCCTCTTCTTTGAAGCCAGAATCATTGATTTTACTACGGTTTCGGCCCCATTTTGGCCTTCTGAGGGGGCAGCGCTCCCCTTCCTTCATAACAAAATCATTGATTTTACGTAGGTTTTGGCCTCATTTTGTCATTCCCAGGGGGCAGCGCTCATTTGCGCTTCTGAGGAGGTCGCAAGAGGCCCCAAGATGGCCCCAAGAGGCCCCCAGGAGGCCCAAGAGGCCTCCAAGAGGCCCCCAAGAGGCCCCCAAGAGGAGGCCCCCAAGAGGCCCCCAAGAGGCCCCCAAGAGGCCCCAAGAGGCCCAAGAGGCCCCCAAGAGGCCCCCAAGAGGCCCCCAAGAGGCCCCCAAGAGGCCCCAAGAGGCTCCAAGAGGCCCCCAAGAGGCCCCACGAGGAGCCCGAACGACTCACACCAGGACGAGGGGCCCGAACGACTCACACCACGAAGAGCCCGAACGACTCACACCACCAAGGAGGGGCCCGAACGACTCACACCAGGACGAGGCGCCCGAACGACTCACACCACGAGGAGCCCGAACGACTCACACCACGACGCGGGCCCCGAACGACTCACACCACGAGGAGCCCGAACGAGTCACACCAGGAGGAGGGGCCCGAACGACCCACACCAGGATGAAGGGCCCGAACAACTCACACCACGAGAAGCCCGAACGACTCACACCAGGACGAAGAGCCCGAACGACTCACACCACGAAGAGCCTGAACGACTCACACCAGGAAGAAGGGCCCGAACGACTCACACCAGGACGAGAAACCCCAAACGACTCAAATCACGAGGAGCGCTTTCTCTCCCTCCTCCTCCGCCTCGTCCTTCTCCCGCTCCCCCCACAAGGAGGATGTACAAGGAGGCGGGAGGAAGGAAGAACAGGGGAGATATGCGGGCCCAAGCGGACGCACGCCTGAAAAACACGACTGTCGGCATGCTTCGCAAGAGTTGCTGCTGTGAGATGGGCTGGTGGGGATACGCGAAGCGTATTATCCCGGCAAAGCAACCTAACAGCGATGTGTAGAAGCATATATGGAAACATTCCCCTTAAGATCCAGATGAGAATCCAGTTGTAGAATTCTCCTGTTCTCGCAGTCGCAGTCGCATTCGCGATGACAGTCGCAGTGGCAACGGCAGTCACTGTCACAGCCTCAGCCTCAGCCTGCCTCAGTATCAGCCTGCCTCAGCCTCAGCCTCAGCCTCAGCCTCAGCCTCAGCCTGCCTTCAGCCTCAGCCTCAGCCTCAGCCTGCCTCAGCCTCAGCCTCAGCCTCAGCCTGCAGCCTCAGCCTCAAGCCTCAGCCTCCTCAGCATCAGCCTGCCTCAGCCTCAGCATCAGCCTGCCTCGGCCTCAGCCTCAGCCTGCTTCAGCCTCAGCCTCAGTCTGCCTTCAGCCTCGGCCTCAGCCTCAGCCTGCCTCAGCCTCAGCCTGCATCAGCCTCAGCCTCAGCCTCAGCCTGCCTCAGCATCAGCCTGCCTCAGCCTCAGCCTCAGCCACAGCCACAGCCTCAGCCTCAGCCTCAGCCTAGCCTCAGCCTCAGCCCTCAGCCTCAGCCTGCATCAGCCTCAGCCTCAGCCTGCCTCAGCCTCTCAGCCTCAGCCTCAGCCTCATCAGCCTCAGCGTCTGCCTCAGCCTGCCTCATCCTCAGCCTCAGCCTCAGCCTCAGCCTCAGCCTCAGCCTGCCTCAGCCTGCCTCAGCCTGCCTCAGCCTCAGCCTGCCTCAGCCTCAGCCTGCCTCAGCCTCAGCCTCAGTCTGCCTCAGTATCAGCTTGCCTAAGCCTCAGCCTCAGCCTGCCTCAGCCTCAGCCTCAGCCTGCTTCAGCTTCAGCCTCAACCTTAGCCTCAGCCTCAACCTTTCCTCAGCCTCAGCCTCAGCCTGCATCAGCCTCAGCCTCAGCCTCAGCCTGCCTCAGCATCAGCCTGCCTCAGCGTCTGCCTCAGCCTGCCTCAGCCTCAGCCTCAGCCTCAACCTCAGCCTCAGCCTCAGCCTCAGCCTGCCTCAGCCTCAGCCTGCCTCAGCCTCAGCCTCAGCCTGCCTCAGCAGCAGCCTGCCTCAGCCTCAGTTGGCTACGGGCATTCAAAATGTGGCCCGGGAATGGAGTTCTGGGAACTCGAAGAGCACGAAGTGGCCTACAGTTGGCTCCGGGCATCCAAAATGTGGCCCGGGAATGGAGTTCTGGGAACTCGAAGAGCACGAAGTGGCCTACAGTTGGCTCCGGGCATTCAAAATGTGGCCCGGGAATGGAGTTCTGGGGACTCGAAGAGCACGAAGTGGCCTACAGTTGGCTCCGGGCATTCAAAATGTGGCCCGGGAATGGAGTTCTGGGAAGTCGAAGAGCACGAAGTGGCCTACAGTTGGCTCCGGGCATTCAGAATGTGGCCCGGGAATGGAGTTCTGGGAGGTCGAAGAGCACGAAGTGTGTGACTGTTGGCTTAAAACGACTTCTGCGGCACCCTGTCCGGCACCCGCCCAGACCCCCCTGTGGAGTCATCTGCTGCTCTCTTTTTAGCCCATTAGAAACCTATCAGTCTTCGCTGTTAGGTAAAAGAATTTCGTGGATTGGCCTCGCCTTGCTCCATGATGCGTCCAGAACCCAGTCTGGCTCCGAAGGCGGCTGCAAGACGAAGCAGCCACTGCGGCGCAGGGATCATGATTGAGATTGTACCTGCAGGGCGCAGCTCCCAAGCCACTCCACATCGCCTAGGGATGGAACAATCCCCGAGATAACAGATTGAGCAGAAACGGATACGGCAAGAAGAGGGGGACGAGGGAGGAAAGAAGCATAAAGACGGGACCAAAATCACGATGGAGGCGGAGGCAGAGATGCGTGCGAAGGCGGCGAAGGAGGCGTAGGCGGAGGCGGAGGAAGAAGCGTAGGCGGGCGAAGAGGAGGACGACGACGACGAAGACGAGGACGACTAGGAGGGGGGGCGAGAGTGCACGGTTCCCCCCGGGGCCGTAGGCGACCCGAGGAGGAGGAGGAGGAGGTGGAGGAGGAGAAAGGGTCGCCTAAGCCCTTCGGAGAACCCCCCCTGGCGAGAAGCGAGAAGTAAACGGATTAAAAACGCCGCGTGACGGAGCCTTTTGCGGCATGACGGAGCTCCGCTTTCGCGGGCGGTCATTCATGTTGCCGCATCCGAGCAATACGACGAAAAAATCGATGGCCTCGAGCCTAGTGACTGCACGAGCCGCTTTGCGCACTAGCGCCCGACCTATACTACCAACGCTGCTCTCTTCTATCATATGCGGGGCAAATTCCGTGCACTTCTTCTCCTCCGTCTTTGTATTAAGGAGGGGGGAGGAGAGAAGATCGAGGAGAAAGGAACAAAAGGGAAGGAGAAGCGGAGCCGTTATACGTACGTGTTCAAGTTCTCGTGGTGTACCGTGACCGACAGCGTCATAAAGCAACGACCATGTGGTGCAAATCCATGGCTTCACCTAGTAGATCGCGGTTCCACCGCCCAGCTTATCCACCTCATCCAGCTGGATCCGGCAGAAGCGATACGGAGGGTATGACATGCGTATGTGACCGATGTTGAAGCAATACGACTGCGACGGAGGAGGTAATACCTTGTTGGCATTGGCTTGCGCTGGATGCTAGGTATCGGCAATGCACCACATGTGTGGTGAACGTGAGAAGTGCACACTTAAACTCCAAGACACCTGCGAAACCAAAAAAAAAAAAAAACTTGTTTCCGATATGATCGCCCGACGGGCCAAGCTTCACCTTCGTGACTCCGGAAATCCTTCGGGGGGGGTCGGAAACCACAGGGGCTCCCCATCCCCCTCCCACCCCCCTAACCCCCCCCCCCACGCATCCGCCCCCCCCAACCCCCCTCCCAGGAAATTGAGACGGAAGGCTCCAAAACCTTCTACTGCCGCCCCCCCCCCAGACAATTATCTGAAGTGTTCAGGGGTTGCCCCCCCCCGACGACGACGACGACGACGACGACGACGACGACGACGACGACGACGACGACGGCAATGTCGTCGCCGCCGCTGGCACACGACGTGGACGACGACGCCGACGACGCCGACGACGCCGATGACGACGACGACGACGACGACTCTGTAGGGCTGGATCCAGCACTGATCGAATCCTACCAGGGATCGGTCCAGCTCTGATTAGGATCTTGCTAGTCCCTCATCCAGCTCTAACAGAAATCTTGCTCCTGGGGCTGGGTCCAGCGGTAGAAAAATCCCAAAAAGGTTCGTTCAAGCTCTAATCGAATCCTGCACAAGCCAGGCCAAGCTCTAACAACCCTACTAAGGCTGGATCCTGCTTTCAGGGCGTCCTACACAGGGCTCGACCATGCTCTAATACTCCCAGTGAGGCTCCATCCAGCTCTGGTAGAATACGACTCAAGCTCGATCCAGGTCTGACCAAATCCGACTGGGGCCGGGTCCAGCTCTGGTAGAATCCTACTACGGCTCTACCCAGCTCTAAATCGAATCCTACGATGCTTCAACCAAGCTCTAGAAGAATCCCAATCGGGGTCGATCCAGCTCTCATAGAATCCGATTGGGGCCTGGATCTAGCTCTAACAGAACTCTTCTGAGGCTGGATCCAGCTCTTATCGAATCATACGAGGGACCCATCCAGCTCTGAGAGAATCCTGCTAGGGACCCATCCAGCTCTCTTAATATCCTTCTAGGGGCCGATCCAGCTCTCACAGAGCCCTACTAGGGCTCGACTAGAGCTCGATCCAGCACTAACAGAATCCCACTAGGGCTGGATCCAGCTCTGCCAGAATCCTACTAGGGCTCGGTCCAGCTCTGAAAGAATCCTACTACGGCTGGGTCTAGCTCTGGTAGAATCACGTCTGGGCTGGATCCCGTTCTAAGCGAATCCGACTAAAACGCGATACAACAAGAATGCAACACCGTTATGAAGAGGGACCCGGTTCTAATAGCACCCTATTGAGGCTCCACTCAGCTTTACTAGAGTCCTACTCGGGCTGGAGCCAGCTTTACCCCCACCAGTCCTTTAGGGCGTGGGTGGTTTAGCGGGTTTCCTCTTCCAACCCCCTTCTCTCCTTTCGGGGAAAGGTTTACCCCTCCACCTACCCCGTCCCCACGGGTCTGGACGGGGCGTTTCGCGAGCGATTGGAGTGTCCAAGATGGCCTCGGCGAGTAAGCCACAATCACAGGTTTCACCAAGGTTTGGGCTACTTGTTGGCCTCCTGGGGGGGGGGGGCAACGCTAATTCATTATGCCCCCTTCTCTGATCGATCTCCTCCAAGATGGCCCCAAGATGGCCCCCGAGGCTCCCAAGGGTGCCCCAAGACGGCTCCGCGAGGTGCCTAGGAGGCCCCACGAGGCCCCTAAGAAGCCCCTCTGATGCCCCTGGGAGGAGGGTGGGGAGGAGGAACAGCTCCTGGAGAACCAATGCCCTGGCAAACTCTATGCTCAAAACATCCACGCGTGCGTGTTGCACACACGCTGGCCTGTACAAAAGAAGGGCCCTACGGGATATCAGTGCGCGTGGTGTAATGCGTACGCTTCCTTTGTGTTCCAACCACCTGGGGAGGAAGGAGCGAGAGAAGAGGGAGAGATGAGGGAGAAGGCACGCGGGAGGAATGAAGAGGGAGGGAAGAGGGCGGATGGGGGAAAGGGGGGGAGGGGGACGGAAGGACCGGAAAGAAGGCAGGAGGGAGGGTGAGGAGAATCACATAGAGATTCACCTGGGGCGAAACTGCAAATGATACGCAGAAAGCACGAGGTGTGCTCGGTTCTGGAAGGGAGCGGGAGAGGAAATATGGAGGGCTGTATGACGGCACCTCTGATTGAGGTGAGCCTTTTGTAGCAGCGGCGTAGTACACAAGACGATGAGAAATACAAACAGCTAACCGTCGACACTCGCATGGGACTCCTGAATCGGGCCTCGAAGGGTGGCAACAAGACTCTGTCTCTTCCTGGTGGCGCACTACGACTGCAAAAGCACACCTCGCAACTGCATTGCTCGCAAAACCACACAGACGCGTCCCCATCTCCCTCCCGAAGCCGCAGGCTCACGAACCACCTGGAATCAGATCGCCACGCTTCGATGTTTCATGCACTGTCCCGTCAGATGCGTGCGCCCTGCATGCGATCTTCACACAACCATCCCTGCATCCCCTCCCAACACCAATTGAATCGAAGTCCTCATCCGATAGCACGACCAACCTCCTGGAAGGCGCAAGAACGTACTCGCCACAAGCATGCGGATTATAATCATAGAAGCGACGAGGGAACAGAGATGAAGGGGGAGACAGGACAGTTGAGAGAGATGGAGGAGAGAAGGAGAAAACACGATAAACGGGGGGGGGTAAGAATAACGAAACAATTTGAGTAACCAGATGAAGGGATAGGCACACATATGAAGAAGGTGAGTGACGAAGAGGAGGTGGAAGACGAAGTGGACAGCAGAAAGGAGAGGACAAGGAGGGGAGGAGGAGGAGGGAGGACGGGAGAGGACGATGACGACGAGGATGAAGAGGATCGTAGGAGCGGGGGCAGATAGAGACGACAGGGACCCGCAAACCCAGGAAGAAGAACACAATATGCTCTACCCGTCGCTGTGCTCGATCCTGAAGACCCCAATGGCGCGATGACAACCTTAGAGATGCGACTGTGGAGTCGGCACACTGCCCTGCCGCGGGACCGTCATCACCCATTCTCCCTGGTGAAACGAAGACGCTGGCGCGGACGAGGGGGGAGCCGAGGAAGAAGGAAGAAGTCACTTTGTACCCTGAATAAGCGCGCTGGCCAACCTGCAGCGAGCCATCAACAGGGACAGGGGAAACGGGCGCACGTGAAGATTTATAAAACCCCGATGGCCAACTGGGAAATCCTGAGGCGCTGGGCGAGGGCTGGCAAATCCGTGGCTGCCGAAATGGTCGTCCTGGAAGGAAAAAATAGATTCCCGAAAAAAATGGCACAACGCACTGAATAGTAAACGGGCTGCTCCCCGGAAGAAGAAACACTCTCCTGGAGCTCCGTTTTAGCAGCCACCGGCCGTCGCCTGGCTTCTGAGAGATGTTTCCCAACGCAGCACAACCACACCCCCCGCCTCGCGGTGAATACTAGAATTGGGTCGTAGAGGGACAGGCCCGACTTACTACTTTAGGAGGCAACTACTGGGAGGTTTTCGTCGGAAGGAATAAGGAGGATTAAGCCCCAATTGGGGGGCTGTTACGCCAGAGTGGGCCTCGGATCAAGCGGGATTAAGCGGGATTAAGCGAGATTAAGCGGGATTAAGCCAGATTAAGCGGGATTAAGCCGGATTAAGCGGGATCTCGGACCAGGGCTGAATCAGAATTTGACCTCCCAGGAGTTGCATCCAGAACTACTAGAAGGCCTGGGCAGCCGGGTGCGAACAGCCGAGCGCCACGCGTGGACAGCAGCAGCAAGAGCAGGGAGAGGAAGCAGGCGGCGAGGGGAAGCAGAGCAAGGAGGAGGAAGACCACAGCAGGCAGCGCGCAGCGGCAGGGGGACGGGAACGAGGCAGGTCTTGGGGAGCGCGGTGCCCGTTGCCCCGCAGGACTGGACGGCTGCATCCGAAGGCTGTCCAGGCCACCCGAACTAGCACCAGGACCAAAGGTGGTTTGAACACGCGTGCGCAGGCACTCGGAAAGCATGGGTCCTGGTGCCCCTGTGTCTCCCCTGACTCGGGTGGCCAGCGATACGACCACACAACCTACGTGCAACAGAGAAAGCAGGCGGAGGCGGGGAGCAGGAGCCAGAGAAAGAAGAGATAAGTCAAATCACAAGAAAACACAATATTAGGTCGGGCGTGTCCCCCTAAAGGGGGATTTTGGGCGAAGAATAGAAAATACTCAACAAATACTCAACAATTGCAGCAACAACAACAACAACAACAACAACAATTACTAGCACGTGGGGACACACCGTTCTCACCAGTGCCAGGGTTTTCATAGGAGGCGGGCAATACCCCCACTTTGTGGGGGGGCCGGTTCAAGCTCTACCAAATTTCCAAACGACTCTTCGCCACCACCCACACCCAGCTTCCCGCCCTATGACGTTCGGACACTTCACTTCGTGGCATGCGGACGACCGTGGCTACTATTCAGGGCCCCGCGGCCGACGACGACGGCGTGCGCGCGCGAAGAAAAAACGAATGTGTCCCGCATGGTATTATTTGACAGGGATGATGGCCCTGGCAGGTGCGCAACCGTTGTTGCAGAAGTTCGAAAAAGTTGCTCGCGAAAGCCCGTTTGACAGAAATGTTTAAAAAGTGTTGGGTTTCCTACGAATCCGCAAGAGCGCGCGGGATGAAATTTTGACATTTTTTTGTTGAAAAACCATTGGTTTTTTGATGTTTTTATGTTAAAATCGCTACGAAAACTAAGGTTTTGGAAGGATTTCGTCTTGCGCGCGCGAATGTCCACTTTACCTTATTTTTTGCAAGGGATTCTTGAAGTTTGGCTATGTTAGAACAAGAAATGTCAACTTTAGCTTATTTTTTGCAAGGGAAAGCGGGGGACAACAAAACAACCGGATCTGGATCACATCGTTTTGCATGAGACTTCCTCACGAAAATGATGAAAACGTGGCTGCGGCCTAGGCGCGGCGGGGGGGGCGCGCACCAGGGGTCCCAACAATAATTATTCTTAAGAAGAAATAATGTTCAACAACAGCAACAACAGCAACAACAGCAGCAGCAGCAGCAACAACAACAACAGCAACAGCAACAGCAACAGCAACAGCAACAGCAACAGCAACAGCAACAGCACCAGCACCAGCACCAGCACCAGCACCAGCACCAGCAACAGCAACAGCAACAGCAACAGCAACAGCAACAGCAACAGCAACAGCAACAGCAACAGCAACAGCAACGGCAACGGCAACAGCAACAGCAACAGCAACAGCAACAGCAACAGCAACAGCAACAGCAACAGCAACAGCAACAGCAACAACAACAACAACGACAACGACAACAACAACAACAACAACAACAACAACAACAACAACAACAACGACAACAACAACAACACCAACACCAACAACAACAACAACAACAACAACAACAACACCAACACCAACAGCAACCACAACCACAACCACAACCACAACCACAACCACAACCACAACCACAACATTAACAACAACCACAACCACAACCACAACCACAACCACAACCACAACCACAACCACAACCACAACCACAACCACAACCACAACCACAACACAACCACAACCACAGCCACAACCACAACCACAACCACAACCACGACCACAACCACAACCACAACCACAACCACAACCACACCAACAACAACAACAACAACGACAACGACAACGACAACGACAACGACAACAACAACCACCACAACAACAACAGCAACAGCAACAGCAACAGCAACAGCAACAGCAACAGCAACAGCAACAGCAACAGCAACAGCAACAACAGCAACAGCAACAGCAACAACAGCAACAGCAACAGCAGCAACAGCAACAGCACCAGCAGCAACAACAACAACAACAACAACAACAACAACAACAACGACGGCAACAACAACGACAGCAACAACAACAACAACGACAACCATTTTAAGGCTGTACGCTCTTACTTGCCCGCGAATCATTCAACACGTATACCCTACACCCTCGATACCCGCCCTCTTCGTCTTCGATCACACCCCTTTCGGGGGGATTATTTCTCTTTGCTAGGGCCGGCGGGCTTAGACGTACGGGCAAACCGGAACGGGCGGACAATCCTTCGGGGGCGTACATCTCTCTGCCCGCCATTGGAATTGGCGCGGGCCCTGCAAGAGGAGGAGGGGAAGAACGAGGGAGAGTGGGAGGAAGGGGAGGGGGAAGGACGAAGGAAGAGGGAAGATACCACGTTGTGAAGGCGTCCTTGGCGCGTGCGTGGTTCCTGAGCGCCGAAACGCAATTCCAGAATAATTTGTGAGGACGTCGCACGCGAGAGCGCAGTCCTGAGTACATTGTGAGGAAATCTCAGGCGGAAGCGGGGGCCCTGACTAAGTTGCGAGGAAGTCTCAAGCGGGAGCGCCGTTCCTGAGCAAATTGCACGGAAGTCTCAGGCGGGAGCGGGGGTCCTCACTAAATTGCGAGGAAGTCTCAGGCGGGAGCGCCGTTCCTGAGTCAATTGCGCGGAAATGTCAGGCAGGAGCGGGGGTCCTGAGTAAAATTCGAAGAAGTCTCAGGCGGGAGCGCCGTTCCCACGTAAATTGCACGGAAGTCTCAAGCGGGAGCGGGGGTCTTGATTACATTGCGAGGAAGTCTCAGACGGGAGCGCCTTTCCTGAGTAAATTGCGAGGAAGTCTCAGGCTGGAGCGGGGGTCCTTAGTAAAAATCAAGGAAGTCTCAGGCGGGAGCCGTTGTTGTTGTAGCCCGGGGGGCAGGGGCACAGTTTGAGCAGGAAGACTTTCCTTGAGAAAAAACAAGGTGCGAGCCCCAGGGGTGGCACTTCAATCGAAAAAAATCAATGTGCACCGGTGGGGGGGGATCAACAATAATTATTCTTCAAGAATGAGAGTTCAACAACAACAACAACAACAACAACAACAACAACAACAACAACAACAACAACAACAACAACAATTACTAGCACGTGGGGACACTCCGTTCTCACCAGTGCCAGGGTTTTCATAGGAGGCGGGCAATACCCCCACTTTGTGGGGGGGCCGGTTCAAGCTCTACCAAATTTCCAAACGACTCTTCGCCACCACCCACACCCAGCTTCCCGCCCTATGACGTTCGGACACTTCACTTCGTGGCATGCGGACGACCGTGGCTACTATTCAGGGCCCCGCGGCCGACGACGACGGCGTGCGCGCGCGAAGAAAAAACGAATGTGTCCCGCATGGTATTATTTGACAGGGATGATGGCCCTGGCAGGTGCGCAACCGTTGTCGCAGAAGTTCGAAAAAGTTGCTCGCAAAAGCCCGTTTGACAGAAATGTTTAAAAAGTGTTGGGTTTCCTACGAATCCGCAAGAGCGCGCGGGATGAGATTTTGACATTTTTTTGTTGAAAAACCATTGGTTTTTTGATGTTTTTATGTTAAAATCGCTCCGAACACTAAGCTTTTGGAAGGATTTCGTCTTGCGCGCGCGAATGTCCACTTTACCTTATTTTTTGCAAGGGATTCTTGAAATTTGATTATATTAGAACAAGAAATGTCATTTTATAGTGTTTTTTGCAAGGGAAAGCGGGGGGACAACAAAACAACCGGATCTTGATCACATCGTTTTACCTGAGGCTTCCTCACGAAAATGATGAAAATGTAGCTGCGGCCTAGGCGGCGCAGGGGGGGCGCGCACCAGGGGGCCCAACAATAATTATTCTTTAGAATAAATAATGTTCAACAACGACAACGACAACGACAACGACAACAACGACAACAACGACAACAACACATACTCAAAAACCATCCACATGTTATCTGTTGACTATGTTTGAATGTTCCTCCTGTAGAGGGACAGGCCCGACGTAAGTTTAAGATCAAATATCACAGGCAGCGGACGCTGGAAGCTCGCCGAGTAACGGAAGCCTGCACAGCAGAAGCGCCAGTCGCATGCACCCGCACAACTACCGTTCGCACAGATCGGGCCAACGAAGGCCAGGTGGGAGGGGGGCAGGAGGAGGAGAGGGGAGGGCAACCGCACGGTCAATCGGTGCACCCCACCGTGCTGCTGGGCATCGCGCTGCTGCTCGCCGTCGAATTGCTCACCGCCGTGTCGCCTTCTACACTGCACGTCCTGCTGAGCATGGTCTGCTCATTTATCCTCTCTGATCCCAAGCTCGTGATCTTCCATGTAAACATTGCAGCCATAACGCCAGCTTAAAACTAACGAGATTGGGCATGCCAGCAAAGTCCGCCGACCCGGTCGGCGTGTGAAAGAGGCTGTTCTGTTTGACTCGTCTGGGTCGACGTCGTCGTCGCCGTCGCCGTCGCCGCTCCCTCTCTTTCCTTGGGCCCGTCGCCGCCCTCCCCTTTTTCCTGGGCCCTCCTCAAGCGCGCCAGCCAAAAAGAAGTTGAGCAACGTCGTAGTTGAGTCGAAGGGAAGCCCCTTCCCTTTGATCCCTTCCCCGCCAGGTGGGTGGATCCCGGGGGGGTCCCTGGGGGGTCGCGGGGGGGTCCCAGGTCAGAATACCACCGCCCCCCCTTAGGGGGGGCCGGGGCCCAAAAAAGTCACAAGACGAGCCAAGAGTGCCCCAAGAGGCCCCCTAAGACGATCCAAGAGGACCCCGAATCGCCGAACAATCGGTCCAAGACGCGGCCTCCAGACGGCCCACGAGGGCTGGAAGACGCTCTAAGAGGCCTTGAAGAGCACTCCCAAGAGAGCCCCAAGAGGCATAATTCAATGATGCTCCTGAAGTCTTTCCGGGATTTGAGCGCTCTCGCCTCTTCAGCTTTCCGGCCCAAGAGCCTTCAACGGTCGCACCAAGAGGCCTCTGAGAGGGTCCCGAAACGGGCCAAAGAGGGCCCGAAGACGGCCCAAGACGCCTGAGACGCCTGCAAGACCGCCCAAGAGGCCCCCAAGAGGGCTCCAAGAGGGTGCCCAGACAGGGAAACCAGACGGACATTTAGAGCCCTCGGCCCCAAGAGGCCTCCAGGAGGCCCCAAGAGGCCCCCACGAGGCCCCAAAGAGGCTCCAAGAGGCCCCAAAGAGGCCACCAGGAAGCCTCAAGAGGCTCTCAAGAGGCCTCCAAGGTGCTCCCACGAGGCCCCCAAAACTGCCCCCCAGGGGCCTCCGAGACCGCTCCAAAGAGACCCCAAACAGAATCTCTGAGGACTCTGACCCACGTCAGCGTCGTCGTCGTCAGCGTCGTCGTCGTCGTCGTCGTCCTTCAGGGTCGGCGGCACCCGCCGTAAGGCCTTGGCAACAAGGGGCATTCCGAGGTGGAGAGCCCAATCACGCAGAGCACAACTGTGTCCCTCCAAAACTAAGGTTGTTAAGAACCCTTGTACCAGCTGTACTCTCGATATGGTACACTGGGAAGACTGCGCACCCCCCCCCCCGCCGAGCCTCGCCCATGAGGCCGAACGGGAGCGGCACGGAGAAGGAAGGAGGGAGAGGATAAGGACGAGGATTCGACTTAGTACTCGACGATTGGAGCTATGACCAGTCAAACTGGTGTTGTACAGTGTGGCACTTGAGCCCGTCGCAGGTCCTTAGATGCCTATCAGCATATGCAATACAGACACGGTAAGAGGATGGGGAGGAGCACAGCAATGCAAACGACGTAACAAAATAACTGATACCTTGTTTTATATGTATGTTTATACATTTAATAAACGCACATACACACATACATTACATATATAGATATAGAGATGTAAAGATGGAAAGGAGGGCATTGGACCCTGAAGCGAAGTGTGCGTGCGTGTGTGTTCATGAAGCAGTGAACTTCTAAGGAGCAAGGAGGGGGGAGGAGGGAGGAAAGAAGAGGGAGGCGGGGGGGATGAAAGAGGAAGGAAAGAGGAGACAGAGGGGAAAGGGGGGAGGATGGAGGAGGCAAAGACGGGAGGCGGGAGGCAGGAGGCAGGAGGCAGGCGGCAGGAGGGAGGGGGGAGAAGCGACGGCCGATGGGCGTGCCACCCTGGCGACGTCCTTCGGCAGGTCGCCCCGAGGCAGAAGCACGCCACAGTCCGTGGCACGCATCAGGTGTGGGGAGGTGGTCTACAAGGCATGGGAAGGATGGCCCCCAGGGTCCACCTCCTCTGTTCACCGAATGGGGTATCACCCTCATCAAGGAGTGCGGGAGGAGCAGGAGGGTGAGGCTGAGGAGGCGGAGGGTGCAGGAGCTAGATTCCAAATACCCCTGCCCTACTGCATTCCCCGCCCGCAAGCCAACCCTCCTTCATCTTGATCTCGGCGACGTTTCCATTCCGCTTTTTGCTCATCACCTTCAGCTGCGTTCCAGGGGCCAGCAGGCTCTCCTGGCGGAAAGGATCGCAGACGTTGAAGTATTGAGTATCCACGGAAGATGCTTTGCCAGAGAGGCAAAGTTCCCCAAAAAACAATCGGGCCTCACACTCAAAAGGTTCTTACATATGTCATACAGAACTGGACCTGGTGTTCGGGTTTCCACCTCGTTGCCGCCCGCTGCCGCTGCCGACGCGTGGCCGCCAAGTTGCTGGCTCACTGCCATCTTGCTCTATCCGGTTGCCGCCCCGCTGTGCTGCATTGCTTACGTTTCTGTGCGTTGCCTTCCCGAGCGTTGCACTGCCCTGCTGTGGTTGCAAATGATCGGCAATGGTTTGCACTGCATTGCTTTGCTCTGCTGCACTGGTTTGCGTTGCTTGCGCTGTGCTGCATCGAAATGCGTTGCGTTGCCTTGCTGTACGTCGCTTTGCGCTGGGTGGCGCTGCTGTGCTCCAGAATTCCGTTTGAGGGTGGGGTGAGGCTGGACTCATCAAGGCCCGTCTGGGTCCTCAGAGCCCCCAAATCAAGCCTCGAACGCCTCCTGCATGCCCAAAATGAATTACACGATTGCTCGAGAAGGGCTCCAGCATGGACAAGAGACCTCAAGAAGAGGTCGAAAGGCCCCAAGACACCCCAAGAGAGCCCAAAGAAGTCCCAATTTCCCACCAAGCGCAACAATCAGCCGACGACGACCAGTGTGCCTGAAGTGGGTCCTAAGAGGGAGCACAGACACCCAAATCGTGGGAAAATAATGAAGGTCTTCCATGTGTGCGATCTCGCCTAATCTCTTCCGTCCGCATCCAAGAATCCAGAAAGTGTCCAGAGGACCCAGGGCAACCGACGACGCCCCGAAGATAGTTTCGGCTGGCCTCCAAGACGGCACCAGACCGCCCCAAGACGGCCCCAAGACTCCCACACACGGGTCCAAGACCTTTCAAACCGGCCCCCAAGACCTCCGAATGAACGCCTGCATGGCCAAGAGGCCTTAAGAGAGCACCACGAGAGCCCCAAGGGAGCACAGCGAGCCTTCAGATGACTCCATGGGCCCACGATAGCCACAAAACAAGCCCAAATGTTCAGTCGCATGTGCGTCCAAACCAAACATGAATGGCAAGTTTCGCCAGTCGAGAGCACAAGAGCATCCCAAGAGCTCTCTCAACAGGTCCTTGAGGGAGTGTTGGGGCCCAAGTGCCAAAGTTGGCCTCCACGAGAGATCCAGTTCGCACAAAGTCAGAACTAAACTGGTCCAGCATCCTCTCACGAAGACCAGGAATGGCAAACTCAGGCAAAATTCTTCGTCGCGACTTCCCCCTTCAGGAAGTCCCCAGAATGGTGCAAGCTTCTTGAACAATTTGTCAACGCTGCCCCATGATCCGTTTGTCATGCGACGGGACCATGTGATACACGCAGTTCTGGACAGTCTTCAAGGAATAATCAAAATCGACAACCCTGGAAATGCCAAGTGAAACTCCGAATGGTTTTGACGTGCTCAAGGGAGATCGCTAAAGAGTCAGCTCAGGGCGGCGGAGGATGAGTTCTGTAAGAGGCCACCTCCCCCCAAATTGTGAACGCTGTCGCGACATGCCGTGCCCCACTCAACCCAAACCTTAGGTCGGGCATGTCCCCCTACAGGCGGATTTTGGACCAATCGTTAAAAAAATACCCACCCAAAAAAAAACTGCGAATAATCTGTATTAAAAAATCGTCAAAAAATCGTCTCCTGACTATTCTATGACTATGTTTGACAAATCCTCCTGCAGAGGGACAGGCCCGATTTAACCCAAGCCCTGTCGCCTTCTCGTTGCTGTAGAACGTGATATCGGAGATGTCGCTGGCGGTCAGCGACTCGACGGTGACCCGCCGGCGCGCCCAGGGGGCGCCGAAAAATCTGAGATTTGGGGCGCGGAAGGAGTGAGCAGGACCATCACAATGACAACGCCGACGCCGACGACGACAACGCCGACGACGACGACGACGAGGACGAGGACAACGACAACGACAACGACGGCGACGACGACGACGACGATCACGACGACGACAACGACGACGACGACAACGACGGCGAGGGACCATGATGACAGGCCTGCCACGAAGAAGGGGGGGAGGAACAGAAATAGAACCAGGTGGGTTGAGGAGGAAGCAAGGATGGTGACGGAAGGAAACAAGACGGAGGAAGAACGGCGAGTGGTACTCGGCATCGCGTTGTGCGACGAACGTGGTGGTTGTTGCACGCTGTGGAGCTTCGCACAACAACCACAACGCTGCGTGGACTTGAGTCGCGGTTGTTGTGGCTGTCGTGGTTGTCGTGGTTGTCGTGGCACTATCTTGTAGTAGTCGTGGTTGTCGTGGAGTGTGAAGTGGTGCTGCGTTAGGAGTTGACGAAGCCGTAGTGGTGCTCCGTCGTTGGCCAAAATTGGCCGTGAAAGTGGTGCGGGTGCCTCCTCTTCCACCCCTTCCTCCCCTTCCCTCCCCCACCGACGCCGCATTCCAATCCTCGTCCTGTTCATCACTGTCCTTCCCGCGCTCATCATCTCATTATCCTGCTCCTGACACTGACGCTGCTGGGCTCTAGGGTCGTGCACGACGCAGCCAGCCACCCCTCTTCCTCCCCCTCCTCCTCCTCCTCCTCCTCCTCCTCCTCCTCATCATCATCAGCAGCATCATCATCAAGCATCAATGATCAGTCATCATCATCAGCATCATCATCATCATCATCATCATCATCACCATAACCATCATCATATATCCATCTATCGCAGGTTATGACCAAGCAAGCTCCTCTTGCCTGAACAAAAATGGGGGTAAACTCAGCCAGACATCAAAGACTTGCATAGCTGATCCCTGAGGCCACCTTTGTGGCGAACAGCGAGGCCCTGAGCGGGGGTCTTATTACAACCCCCCAGGGAGCCCCCCCCCCCCGAGCGTAAGCGGAGGGCGGGCCTGTCATCATCAGCAGCATCACCAGCATCATCATCAAGCATCAATGATCAGTCATCATCATCAGCATCATCATCACCATCATCACCGAGAGAGCGTGATCCACCGCCGCTTTACTGTGGAAAATTGCCAACCTTTTCCTCCGGAGCCCGGGGGTCTCCCCCCCCCCCCCCCCCTCCGAAAATCCCCCCCCCTGCTGGAACCCCTCCCCCCCCCCCTCCCGGCAAAACCCCCCCTCCCCTAACCCCCCCCCCCCCCCCCCCCCCCGAAAGCCGGGGGGGTCACTACCGGTTCGAACCCCTCCCCCCCCCCCCCCCTTCCGGATCCGGAAAACCGGCGGGGTCACTACCGGTTGGAACCCCCCCCCCCCCCCTCTCGAAAACCGGAGGGGGGTCACTACCGGTTCGACCCCCCCCCCCCCCACGCACCGCCAGCAAACGACTCCCGGTCCCTACCACCGCTCGCATCACATCCCCCACTGTTGTTCCCAGCACCACTGTCCTCACCACCACTGTCCCCACTGGTTCCACCACCGTCCCTATTGTCCCCACCAGTGCCCCCACCACTGTCGCACTGTCCCCACTGTTCCCACAACTGTTCCCACCACGGTTCCACTCTCCCCACTGTCTCCACGGACCCAACCACTGCCTATCCCCACTGTCCCCACTGTCCCACTGACTCCTCCGCTGTCCCACTGAGCTGTCCCACTGTTCCCACCACTGTCCCCACTGTCCCCACCACTGTCCCCACTGTACCTCTGTCCCATTGTCCCACCGCCGTCCTCGCCACCGCCTTTACCAGTGTCCCCACCACCATTGTACCCTCCACTGTCCCAGTGTTTCCACCTCATTCCCACTGTCCCCACACCACTGTCCCCACCACCACCGTTCCCACCACTGTCCACTGTCCCCCCTGTTCCCACCATTGTCCCCACCACTGTCCCCACCACTACCGTCCCCACCACTGTCCCACTGTCCCCCCACTGTCCCCACCACTGTCCCGCTGTCCCCTCACCACTGTCCCCACCAACACCGTCCCCACCACTGTCCGCACCCCCACTCGGTTTTCGAGGGGGGGGGGGGGTCGATGACCGAACCCCCCCCCCGGTTTTCCGGAGGGGGGGGGGGAGGGGTTCGAACCGGTAGTGACCCCCCCCCGGTTTTCCGCCAGCAGCGGTAGAACACGCTCTTTCTCATCACCATGACCATCATCATCTATCTATCGATCGCAGGTTATGACCAAGCAAGCTCCTCTAGCCTGAACAAAAATGGGGGTAAACTTAGCCAGACATCACAGACTTGCATAGCTGATCCCTAAGGCCACATTTGTGGCGAACAGCGATGCCCTGAGCGGGGGTCTTATTACAACCCCCCAGGGAGCCCCCCCCGAGCGTACGCGGAGGGCGGGCCTGCATCTCGTCCTCGCGGCGCCAGGAGCCTGATCTCCCCTGCTGCCGCGGGCTAAACCATACTGAGGAAACGAAAAGAGAAGAAAACAAAGGCGACAATGACGCCGAGGCCTACCTCTGCATCCTCACTCCTCCGTCCCACTCCCACCCCATACGCCTGTAGTGGAACCTGAGCATTCGCTCCTGCTCCTTATTGTACTTGGGGCGGGGTTTGGGCTTGGGGAATGGGGCAAAACGAGGCCAGACAACCTGAGAGGGTGGGACAGGCTCAGATTAGGGCTCAGGGCTCGGGGATCGCGGGGCGGACCTAGCAGGGGGGAGATATCTGGCTCGTTTTTGCTCTGGCGGCCCTTCTGGTTCGCGACGTATTTCCGACACCACTCCCTGAGAAGAAACACCAGCATCAGTAATCACACTATCACCAGTATCAGTATTCACATGTGTATACCCAGCGTCAGTATTCAAAACCGGTAGAGTACACTCTCTGCCAGCGTCAGTACTCGTTGGTTGAGTACAGTCTCTGCGGGTCTGCCCATCCTCAGTAATCAAGTGTTGAGTACCCTCTCTGCCAGCATCAGAAATCAAATGATGAGTACCCTTTTTTCTGCCAGCATCAGTAATCAAGTGTTGAGTTCCAATAGGCTGCCCAGCATCAGTAATCACCAGTGGAGTAAACTCTCTGCCAGTATCAGTACATACATCCTGATTCCCATTTAACCAAGCGGTGTCTGAAGGTGCATGCACAAAAAAAGGTTGAGCTCTCCCAATAGTGATATCCCCATCCGGCATCTCTGACTGAGCACTGGCGAGAGGCGCTCCCACATCATTTTGCCTCCTCCGCTTTTGTGGTCTCGCTGACTGTGCTGCTAACGATCTCACTGGTTTAGCTCCTGAATCCATATCGAGAGCTGGCGCTCCATGTACCCTGGCGGCGCGGGGGCGTACGAGTGTAGGAACTCGCACTGCTTCATGGCATTGATGATCGGCGGGCGCGAGGGGCTCAGGACCATGACCACATTCAGCTTGCACATGTCGCTGTCGAGTGCCTTCTCGATTGCCACCAACTGGAACTCCGACTCTAGTTCGATGATCCCGCGGAGCTGCATTTTCTGGTCGGGCTCCTCCTTCTTGTTGACACCGTCCACGTCCGACTCCTTCAGCTGCCTTACCAGAACGCACGCGTTGTAGGGTGCAGGTGAGACGGTCATCTCTTGCTACTGGGCGACGTCCACGTACTTTTTGTGTTCCTCTTCCAAGGCCTGAATGATGGTGGCGCTCTTCTTGCACCTGATCGTGTCCATCACCGTCGGCTTGATCTTGCGAATGTCTTGGGTGTTTTTTCCACTTGCTTCATTATGAGTCCCAGCACTGCTTTTACGTTCGGGTCCTGAATGGCGTTCCCGTCCACCTTCGGGTCCTGCTGGGCCTGGATCGGCGGGCCTCCTCTGCGCCTTTCTTTCGATCTGGGGCCCGTTCTCGCCGGGGCTGAGACATCCGCCAGTCGGCTCATAATGCAGATCGATGTCGTGAGATATCAATAGCGGAAGGTGCTGACATATGTGCCCCTGCAACTGAGCCAAGCACGGCAAAGGATCGACGTGGCAAAACGGACACGTTAGCTCAGCAGGTTGACGAACTGGTATTTCCACCGAAGACCGATCAGCATAGCACCGATGATGAACCATAGCGTACTGTAAGTGTTGTTTCGCACATGCTTCGGATTTAAGTGTCGAGCAGCACACTGGGCATTGATTTGTCACGATAGCGAGTCAAGCGGCGTTTCGAACCCCGTGTGCTTTCATCCGGTGGGTGCGGAGGCTCTTGTAGGTCGCGAAGCGTGCGTCACATTTGCACCCTGTCTCAAGGAGGAGGTCACACTCGTACATCGGGTCCAAAGAGGTTCCATTGTCTGGCACGGGGTCGGGGCCTAGCATATCGTACTCTGGCGGGGCAACCGATGAGGACCAGAACTTGGCTCTAAGGATCCCAGGGTCCAGCATACAGAACGCCTCCCCAACAACTTTATCCCGAAGAAGAGAAAGTAAACTCCGATCCCAGATACTCGCGAAAGACTCTCAGCCCGAGACATCCAATAAACTGTGCACGTCGGCCTCGAACATTTTTGCCCAAGGATTGGCGGAATAATGTACTCGTCCGTCCACAGTGAGCGTAGCGGCAAACCCGCTCGACGTCTCACACTGCATGGCGCCAAACAGCGCTGAATAACCATCATCATCATCATCATCATCATCATCATCAGCAGCAGCAGCATCATCATCATCACAATCATCAGCATAAGCATCATCATCATCATGATCACGTTCCTTCTCATCCTCCTATTCCTTTTCCCCGCAAGAGGTCTCATGGAAAAACATGGAAGGAAGAGGTGCAGCGTCGGCGACGGAAGGAGGACCAGCAGCAGCAGGCGCGGGCCGAAGAGGGGGAGAAGGGGCAGGGTGAAAAAACAGAGAGAGCACGCTTGAGTGTCGCGATGATGCTGTAGTCGTAGGGCCGATCCACACACACACACTTGCGAAGAAGGACCTCAAAACAATGAATTGAGTCACCCGTGCTGGTCCCGAGGTCGCACGAGTGGACCCCAACAAACTGGGAAGAACATCATCCCCCACCCTCATTCCCACAAGCCAAAAAGGGAATTGGAGGCCGGTCTGCCCCCTTGCCATGATAAACGCGGGTCTTCGCTGCGGGGTCGCGTGCCGGCCTCAGCCTTGCGAATAATAGTGCACTTTCCGCCGCATCCCTTGGCGAAATTCTTGGCGACGTTCATGTCGGAAGTTGTGCTTGAAATGCCCCACCATGTGACAACGTTCCCCACCTGGCGCAGGACGAACCGCAGCAGCGTTAGAGGGAAGATGAAGACGACGAAAAAGAGTGTGCATGAAGACAACGACAAGGATGATGACGACGGCGATGAAGACGAAGATGATAACGACGACGACGAGGGAAGACGACGATGAAGTCGACGACGACGACGACGGCGACGAAGAGGATGACGAGACCAACGACGACGACGCTGACGACGGCGACGACGACGACGACAACGATGACGAGCATGAGATGGGCAAGGGAAGAGCAGGAGCAGCAGGAACAGGAGCAGCAGGAGGCTGTGCACCCGACGGGCGCGGAACCCTGGCGAAAGCTGGAGGCGGAGCACCGCAGGCCTGGGCGGCGCTCCCTTCGGCCACCGACGCTCGGAGGGTGCATGGTAAGCGCCTTCTTTTTTCTGGGCTTCGACATTTGGCCTAAATCAGGCGTGTCCTTCTACAGGAGGCATATTCAAAAACAAATCCTGGGACGGCCTTTCTGATACGTTTGACTATGTTTGAAGATGTGTCGGCTATGTTCCACTGTTATATTCCAACATCCGCCTGTAGAGGGGGACATGCCCGACCTAACATTTGGCTGAGGGGTTGGGAAGAGGGGGGTCTGGGTCTGGGCCGGTGCTTAGTCGATCTGCTCGCACGTGTGGCGCCAGCAGATTGGGGGGACGGGGCCAAAAGCAGCCGCCAAAAGCAGACAAGATCTGGTCCGTGGGGAGAGGAGAAAAGGGATGGGGCCAAGAGCCCGCGCCGATCGGCGAAACAATATGCAGAAAAAAAGACGACACGTGGTATGCCCTCGCCCACATCCCTCTCCTCCCGTTTCCCCCCTCTTAAGGCAGGAGGTCTACGATCTTCTGTACACCCAGGGGGCCAGGCCAGGTCGCCACAGAGGTGAGGACTTCCGACGGCAGCATCCGACAAAACAAGGGCTCCCAACTTCGCGCTTCGCGCTCCGCGAAGCGCGAAGCGCGAATAACTTCGCGCTCTCGCGCCGCCCCCCCAAAGGGAGAAGAGGAGGACGAGGAGGAGGGGGAGAAGGAACGAGGACCGCGAAGCGCGAAGCGCGAATAACTTCGCGCCCTCGAGGGAGCCCTTGACAAAACACGGAACTGCAGCAGGCGGCGCAGAGCGACGAGGACCGCAGGCCTCCGCCGCCCCTGCGCCGCCCTCCGCCGAGAAAGGGACGGCAACTCCTTCGCCCCTCGGAAGGCCCCACACACACACACACACACACACACACACACACACACACACACACACACGCACACACACACACACACACGCACGCACGCACGCACGCACGCACGCACACACACACACACACACACACATGCACGCACGCACGCACGCACGCACGCACGCACACACACACACACACACACACATGCACGCACGCACTGAGCAACCATGGGGCGGGGAGGGCACAGGAGGCAGAGGGAGGAAGAGGAAGAGGAGGAGGAGGAGGAGGAGGAGGAGGAGGAGGAGGAGGAGGGGAGGGGAGGAGGAGGAGAGGAGGAGGGAGGAGGAGGAGAGGAGGAGGAGGGAGAGGAGGGAGGAGGAGGAGGGAGTAGGAGAAGAGGAGGAGGAGGAGGAGGAGGAGGATGGGATGGAAGGGAGAGCGGCCAGGGGGGCCCAGGGCGCGGAGCGGGAGACGCAGCTGCACAGCACCAGGGCCCGACGCTGCTCCCGAGCCAGTCTCCCTCCGGGCCTCTTCCCCCGTGGTCGTGCCATCCCTCGAGGGAGGCAGGAGGCAAGGAATCGACAGGAGGGGAGGGGGAGGGGAAGGGGGGGGGGCGGGGACAGGAGGGAAAAGGCCATCGACCCACGCCCCCCATAAACTGGCGCTGCCTTCCAGCAAACGATCCTCTCCTCCGGCACGCCTTGCTCTCCAGCTCCACTCCTCAACCCTTAATTTGTCCTTTGGTTCTTCCTCCCCCAGTGTCTCCCTCCGCCCTGCTCCCCCCTCCCAACATTAACCCCCCCATATGCTTCAAACGCTTTCGGTATCCCACCTGCCCCTGGCCCGTGCCCCACCTCCACCCGATCATCCACTGCTCAACTCGCATGCTCTCTACAGGAATGCCATTGTCCCTCCAGACATCTTCGCTATCCTACTCACTTCCCTCCTCCTCCTCCTCCTCCTCCTCCTACTACTACTACTCCTTCCCTCCTTTCTTCCTTTCTTCCTTCCTCCTTATAGATTACTCCTCCCTGTCGCACCCCGAGGCCGGTTGGACGGGCGGGCTGCTGGGCGATTCGCCTGAGACGTCCTCACCACTAATGATCATGAAGCTTAATATGTGTAAGAGCGTCACGGATGGAGACCGGCCCGTTTTTCAACATGTGGTTCTCGCCTCAGCGCCGCACACGTTCGTCTTAAGAGTTTGCAACAGTTTCAAGGAATCTCATGGTCAACGTCCTGGACATAGTGTGTTGGCACGATGTCGCCATGTCAGGGCGCAACAGTCAAGTTGATTCGCGGTGCTGAAATCCCAAAAATGGTGTCATGACAGTCAAGACGCAACAGCAACGGCGCCTCTCGGCGTTGATCTCCAATGAATGGTGTTCCAGCAAAACTCCTGACTTTCAAACGCGTGCCCTCAAACGGGGCACTTTATGGCCATATGATTAATAAATCGTAAGTTTACACTGGAGGCCCCCCTCCTCCTCCTCCTCCTCCTCCTCCCCCTCCCCCCCACCCTCGGAGCAGTGGGGGCAGCACTGTGGCTCGAGCGCCCAGGAAACAAGTCCTTCCTCGGCTTACGAGCTCTTCGCATCCCACTTAATCTTGGTGGCTTTGATCCTTCTCCTCCTCCTCCTCCTTACCTCCGCCTCCTCCTCCTCCTCCTCCTCCTCCTCCTCCCCCTCCTGGTCGGGGTCGATGTCTTTCAGCGTCGGCGGCACCGGCCGTCAGGCCTTCACAATCTTGGTTGCTTTGATCGGATCGCGATCGGACCTGCTGTAGCCCAGCCCGCGATGGCTGCAGATGCGATTGCGATCCCCATACCGAACGACCAGAACGATCATCTTGAGGACAAACCTGCAGACTTCGCAGGAAATTCGCGCATGCCCGTTGCATCGGATTCCTCAGTGGTTCGTGCCCTCTCGGACGGTCGTGGCGAGGCATCTCGCACAGCTGGAAGAGTGGCACAGCCATCCCCCGGGAACCTAACAAGCTTCCGAACAGCCCAGCCGCGAACAGCCAAAGCACCAGCACACAACGTAAGCTACAAAAGCAAAACAGCCATCAACACGTTTCTAATACGCAACATGCATGGACAAATCATTACCGAAGTGACCCGTGAACTGTCTGAGGTAAAGATCTGGCAACAATGGAGGCAGCAAACACAGTTTGCCTGCGCTCCCACGGGGCGAAGGCTCACGCCCAACGCAGTCCATAAAAGCCTGGCAGTCTTGGCTGAAGACTTGACTCGCTGGCTGGTACAGCCTCCAGGCAGATGGCTTCGCCGAAGCCGTTCGTGACGACCTCGCGCACCCTCGTTTCGCTGTGGACCGCGTGTACAACGAGGAACGCTCTGCGAAACCTAACGGGGCCCTGGCTTTCGAACTCTGCGCCAAAGCACAAGAGGATACGAATATGCACTTGTCCACTGTGAAACGCACGGACGGCGCGGCGATGGTGGCGGCGCTCACCCAAGGCTGTCATGAACGCAGGTGCCGCACATGCCGTCACCGTTCACAAGCGCATATGTGATACTTGCAGGTTCAGTGTGGGTGAGTCACGCAGCAAGTGAAGTAGATTCCACAATTTCTGCCCATGCTCAACGTAGCAAAACAATATATGAGCTCGTTTCCATAGCACGTATCTATAAACCTCATATATGCAAATCTGGAATCTCCGAGGCGACAGCGAGTGTGAACGGCCTTCCCTTTTCCTCTGTTCTTCCCTTCCAGTTGGCCGCGTGCCTCGCCACCTGCTGTTTTTCATTATGTTGCCAGCCCTCTCGCCAACCATAGCGGGGCGGCGTGAGGATCCAGGCCACAACGGTGTCTCGGCGCCCATGGAACAGGTCCTTCCTCACCTTCCTCCTCCTCCTCCTTGTCCTCCTCCTCCTCCTCCTCCTCTTCTTCCTCCTCCTCCTCCTCATCATCATCATCATCAACAGCATCCTCATCGTCGACGTCGTCGTCATCGCAGTCATACTAGAAACATAAGTATCGTAGTCGTAATCGGAATCATCGTCATCAATATCATCATCATCATCATCATCATCATCATCATCATCATCATCATCATCATCATCACCACCATCATCATCATCATCATCATCATCAGCATCATCATCATCATCATCATCATCATCATCGTTCATCATCAGCAGCAGCAGCAGCATCATCAGCATCAGCATCAGCATCATCATCGTCATCATCCGCAGCATCATCATCATCATCATCATCAACATCAGCATCACCATCATCATTAGCAGTATCATCATCATAATCCGCATCAGCACCATCATCATCAGCATCAGCATCAGCATCATCATCGTCAGAATCATCATCATCACCACCACCGCCAGCATCATCATCACCCAACAGCAGCAGCATCGTCGTCGTCGGCGACGTTGACGTAGTTGTCATCGGCATCGAAAGCCGCGACATCGTCAGCATCAGCATCGTCATCATCATCATCAGCATCATCAGCATCATCATCATGATCAGCATCATCATTATCATCGTCATCAGCAGCAGCATCGTCATCATCATCGTAACCATAATCATCAGCAGCAACAGCAGCAGCATCATCGTCATCACCATCAGCATCATCATCATTGTCATCGTCATCGTCATCGTCGTCATCATCATCATCATCATCGCCAACAGTATCAGCATAAGCATCATCAGCATCATCATCAGCACCAGCATCATCATCGCCGTCGTCAAGAATCAGCATACTCGTCATCAGCATCAGCATCATCATCAACAACAGTATCATCGGCACCATCATCAGCAACATCATCACCATCCTCAGCAGCAGCATCAGCATCATCATCAGAATCAGCATCACAGCGTCAGCAGCATCAGCAGCATCATCATCAGATTCAACATCATCAGAATCATCGTCATCATCATCGTCGTCCTCGTCATCATCATCATCACCATCAGCATCAGCATAACCATCAACAGCTTCATCAACAGCATCCGCAGTATCATCATCAGCACCATCATCATCATTCACATCATCATCAGCATTGCCATCAGTATCATAATCATCGTCAATACCATCGTCATCATCATCATCATCATCGTCGTCATTATAATCATCGCCATCATCATCAGCAGCATCATCAGCATCATCAGCATCATCGCCCACGCTATCACGATCGCCTTCGTCATCGTCATCGGCATCATCATTGTCATCGTCATCGTCATCGCCATCGTCATCGTCACCACCATCATCAGCAACAGCGACATCATCAACACCATCATCGCCATCTCAGCATCCTCTTCCCCTTGGTTCTCCTCCAACTCCTCCTTCTCCCCTTCCTCCTCCGAACGTCCCCACGGCTTCGACGCCCACGCCTGGTACTGCGGGTTGTCGAACAGGTCAACCGAGAGCCCGCGCCAGAGCGTCCGCTGGGAGGTACGGATTGTTTTAGGCCGTGCCACGGTGCACACATCGCTACACAAGCGCCAGAGTGCCTGGAGGAGGCGACGACGACGACAATGCGATGGTTTAGGCCGCGCTGCACTGTGCGAAAATGTGTCCACCGCCCAGATCGCCACAGGGGCGCCAAGAGCGCCGAGACGAGGACGGCGACGACGACGACGACGGCGACCTGCGTGTTCCACATCCCGTATCCCCTCGGCGAGCCCAGGGGAAAAGTCAGAAGGGGCGGGCCTTCTCAGAAGGCTCGGAAGGCCTCCGACCTTCGAGGAGTGTGCTGGGCCTTCTCCGAAACAGAGACGGCCTCAGAAGGCTGGAGGGCCTCAGAGAAGCCCCGCCGCCCTCTGAGAGGTCTGCACCCTCCAGCCTCCGAAAATCATGCTATGTAGATGTCCCGACTGACGATCTCCCAGGCCACTGCCCTGGGAAAGGCTAGAGAGCGCCACCACTCCTGGTGTGCTTGGTTTCCTGCCGCTGATCTCCCTCCTCCGCTTCCCCCCTCCTCCTTCTCCTTCTCCTGCTCCTCCTCCTCCCCCCCCAGTTATTTCGAGTGCTGGAGGTGGTCCTCACGCTGCTGGTCAGCGTGGTGGTGGTGGCTCGGCCTGGAAGCCAGACCCCGAAAAATAATGTCAAGAAGTGCAATGACGACTCCTGCAATGCCTGCAGCGTCGGCAAGCACTGGGAGCATTCTCGACCTGGCCACCGCGAGTGCGGCAGGTGAGGTGGCCAGTACGTTGATGCTGCTGGTGATTGCCGGCCTGATGATGTACATCCTGAGATTCCTGGGCAGGCGGCTCCTGGCATTAAGTCGGGCGTGTCCCCCTACAGGGGAATTTTTGTCGAAACATAAAAATGGCCCAAAAATGCTCAAAATTGTCTCACACACACACACAAAATGGGAAACAATCGTCCCCTGATTATTTTTTACTATTTTGGAATACTCCTCCTGTAGAGGGATATGCCCGACTTCATGCTGGTGATGATCACCCTGATGATGTACGTCCTGAGGCTCCTGGGCAGGCGGCTCCTGACACTGCTGGGGTGTCTATGCACCGTATGCCTTGCTCAAGGCCATGGACGACTGGGCCGTCCACCATCCTGTCCCCTCTGGTGTTGCTCGTCAAAGCGCTGCTCCGAGTCCCCCTGCGCTTAGGTGGGGCATGTTCCCCTACACTACACGCGGATCTCCGACGAACATCATTAAACATACTTCTGAAATATTCCAAAATTGGAAAAAAACCGACCCATACTATTTGTTACATCTGTTTCAACATTCTTCCTTTAGAGGGACACGCCCGACTTAACCCTGTGCATGAGCTTTCTGATGTGGGCCGTGAACGCATGGCGGCGATGGAGCAGACGTCCTTGGCAGAGAAGCTCGAGATGGCCACTAACCAGGAGAGGTTGGCTGCCCAAGACGTTTCATGGCGCTCGCACCATTGCAGCAGAGCAAAGGTCACGGTGGGGGAGATGCAGTCGAAGCACACCGAGGCTGAGAAGGCCTTGGCAGCTGCTCGGGAAGCATCACGCGCAGCTGACGAGGAGAGGATCCAGTTCCAGCCTGCAGAGCTCAAGCGGTCCAAGAGGAATGAGTTGCTGGAGAAGATTCGCCAGCGCGGCCAGTCGATGGCGTGCGCGGCAGGCGCTCGTTCGGGTGCCGGTGCGCCCCCAGTGCCCGCGGCTGCGGCCCATGCGCCTTCCGCCGTGCCAGGCATGCCTCATCAAGGTAAAATGTCCTCCTGATGCTGCCGGTGCTGATGATCAACCCTGGAAGCGCGGGAGGCTCGTCGACTGCGTCCACGTGGCAGCCCACCGGCACGAGTTCGATGGAAATGTCCTCGACCAGCTATCGCCTACACCGGTATCCTTTTCCCTCAGTGAGTATGGCAGTCCCCCGCTCCTCCTCCTCCTCCTCCTCCTCCTCCTCCTGCTCTTCCTGCAGCGGATGCAAAGCCATGATGGACAAACGGAAGGCGTCTCGGACATTGGCGGTGATGATGGTGACAGAGAAGACGTGGAGGCGGCGGACCCTGGTCCGCTCGGGGACCTCCAGCAACGACGTGCCCACGAGTCTGGCCTCGATGCTGCGGCTGCCAGTTCGTTCGGTGGCAGAAAATCCACCCCCATGAGATGCGAAGCAAAGATTTATCCATATCCACCGCCTGGGAACCGACGTCCCGGTGCCCCAGCGGGCGGTGGATGTGGATATATTTCGGCCCCCCGGGGGCCCGAATTTGTCCATATCCACCGCCTGCCGAGGTTCCGAAAACTGACCCTCCAGGCGGTGGTCATGTATAAATTCCCGCCTCGGATTAAGAACCACCCCGACAAGCGAAGCCATCTAGCAAACGCACCCTTGGAAGGCATCGAGGAGGGCCGGGCTGCTCCATAAACGCCCACGGCCGTTTGGCCCACGCTGGTTGTCGGGTCTTGGTGACTCTTCCTTCCTTGATTGATGCATGAAGCTGCTCGAAGAACGGATCGTGGCCAAGACGGCCAGGCGTGCACTCACAACTTGGAGGCCTGGAAATGGGCACCAACAACACCAACACAGGGGGTTGCCTCCACAGGGGGAAGATGATCCCAGATTTCGGTGTTGGTGGTAATCTTTCGGCCACCTAGGAAGCCCGAATATTGCCACCATCACCGAGATCGGGATCTTCTGCCCGCGGTGGAGGCACGCCGCCGATATTGGTATTGGTGCTAACCTCCAGGCCTGCGAACAACCGCTGCCACTGCCTCTGAGATGCACCGTGCCTTCCGCCCCGCCACCGCGAAGCAGATGGACCAGGCCGCCCCTCCCAGCTGCGCCCCAGGCGGCCGTGGTGGGGGAGCTGCGGCCAGTCCCGATATTCGCCTGCTGCTCAGCCCGCGCCTGCTGCGTCGCAGCCTGCACAGCCCTCCTCCTCCTCCCCCTCCCCCTCCTCCTCCTCCTCCTCCTCCTCCTCCTCCTCCTCTTCCTCCTCCTCCTCCTCCTCTTCCTCCTCCTTCTCCTCGTCCTCCTCCTCCTCCTCCTCCTCCTCCTCCTCCTCCTCCCTCCTTCCCCTCCTCCTGTTGCGTCGCAGCCTGCACAGCCATCCTCTTTGGTGACGGCCGCCAGTCGCCGCCGCAGGCGGCCAAGCATGTTCGCTCCGGTTGCGAGCATCACTCTATTGTCTAAGCTGTCCCAGGAGTCCTCGCAGATAAGGTTTCTGAGGTTGATGGTATCATTCCTGGCTGAGCGCCATCTCCAGTGCCCTGGATAATTTCGTGCTAGGACAACATGCCACCACATGAGGTGGTCTCCTCTCTTCCCAGATGCGATGACGCGCCCAGGTGGTGGCATACATGGGGGAGTGGCTGTTGTTCAGCCTCATTCTTTCTGGAAACGCGTCTGAAGAAGTGTCCCTTTGCTGTAGGGATGGTCTACCTGGTTTCGTCCAGTTGAGCTTCTGGAGAAAACTCGTCTCGGCTTCGTGGAGTTGCTGAGTTTATCTGTGGTCACTCGGTCCCTTGGTTCATGATGGGTGATCTCAAAGTATGAGGATCTTCTGGAGGCGTCTGACATCTTGGCTCTGCTGTCGGCCAGGACCAGCGCTCCTGGGAATGCTTAGCTCACCTGCTCGGCTGGTGAAATCAGTAACTACGTGCTATGTTCGCATGTGCTGTGCCCATACATCTCGGTATCGGCCGAGCCCCTCTCCCCTTCAAGACTCATGCGTGTTTGGATGTTCTGCTGAACCACGGGGCCTTGATGGAGCCTGTCTGTCAAAAAGTTCGGCATCGCGAGATCCCTGAAACTCTGGGTCCTTATAACCACTGGCATACGTGTATGGCCTCTGCGTCATAAAGTTTCTCGTAGGTTTCATTGGTGATGCCCGACGACCTCTACGAGGCGGCGCGCGGTGGCTGCGGCAGACTCTGGTCTGGCGGCGGCCTTGGCGCGCGTGCAGGAGTTGGAGAAGACTTTCGTCATGCTGGTCGGCGTGGAGGCCGTGGCCGATCGGGTTCGTGCTCCTTATCCAGTGCTCTCCGCGATGGTTCGTGGAGTGGAGCCCGCATGGCTGGACAGGCTCCGCAAGAACGTGGCTCTCCATGCCTGACCTGAGACCTCCGGTGGCAAGAGGGGAGAGAGGATTATCGTGCCAATGAGGAGGAGGAGGAGGAGGAGGAGGAGGAGGAGGACCGCCGCGCAGGGAGTCGAGTCGCTGACGACGGCGGACGTGCGTACCCTGCGGGCGGCGCAGCACGGCCCACGCTGGGGCCTGCTGCGAGGGAGGTGGCCAGCCCTCGGCAGCGGCGGCGGCCCTCGGGCAGGCGACGAGGCGGCAGCCCCAGCCCGTGGGTCACCGGGCTGCAGGCCGAGAGGCCACGGCTTTCGTCCCTGCGGGACGCTGGGAGCCGATGACGCGGGGCACGCGCTGTACATGCGGAGCCGCGGTGTCCCTCCTCCTCCTCCTCCTCCTCCTCCTCCTCCTCCTCCTCTCCTCCTCCTCCCTCCTCCTCCTCCTCCTCCTCCTCCTCCTCCTCCTCCTCCTCCTCCTCCTCGCTGCACGTGCTGTACAGCTGCTGCACGTGCTGCACATCGGCGACCAACCCAGCAGGTTTTTCCGCGAGGCACACGGGGGCGCCACGAGCGCCCAGGGAGGCCGCGGCGACGCGCTGGGCCGCCGAGGGTCCCGAAGGAGAAAATCGGAAGAATCGAAACGAACCCTGGATTCGGCGGAAGAATCGAAACGAACCCTGAAACGAACGAAATCGAAGAAGAAAATCGGAAGAATCGAAACGAAAATCGGAAGAATCGGAAGAATCGTGGGCGGCGACTTCGGGCAGGGCTCCCGCGACGGCGCCGCGGCGGTCGCCGGCGGCGGTGCCGCCGCGCGCCGCGCGGCGGACCCGGCGGGGCCCTTCCGCGGGCCGCGGCGCGGAGCTCGGCGGGGCCCCGGGGAATTCACGTTTGCCAGAGAGCCCTCGGGCCCGAGGTGAAAAA